CGGTATATATTCATCATTTTGAACAACTGAACTGCCTGTTAGAGTTGTTCAATTATCAATTTGAACAGTTCGGTGACTAGTTTGAGCAGTTAGCTACCAGTTTGAACAGTTTCACCACAATTTGAAGCTATGCTACAAGTATGAAGAACAGTTTGATTATCAGTGTACCCAGTTCAGTCACGAGTTTGAACAGCTCGAATACCAGGACCAGTTCTGCTACCACTTTTACCTGTCTAGCACTCAGTTTAGCCTGTTTGGCAAGTTCAGCTGTCTGTTCGTAATGTTAAGGTGCCAGTTTTGGCACGTTAATGTTCAAATTGGGCCAGCTTGCTTTCCTCTATCACCAGTTTAGCCAGTTTGATTTCCATTTTTCCCAGTTCGAATTTGGGTATGCCGGGTTCAAAATCATACTGTTTTTCTCACCATGTCGTGGGAAGTCAAGAAGAACATGAAAGCAGCACGCTTTATTACATGCCTGCGACATCAGCACTCAACACAATCCCGTCATCGTCGTGGTCGACCGTGATCACGGTTAGCTTTGCGGCATGTCCGGCATTGGCTAGCTTTGCGGCTTTAAGCCTCATGCAGAAGAAGCATATTTCTGCTGTTGCTATTTTAATTAATATGGTAATTGAGTCTGTGCTTAAAATAGAATTTTAGCGCGGACATACAGGGTAAGTAGATGTAAATAAGCAGATTCGTTTTTTTGCTGCAGACCTTTAAACATCTATGCGACACAAGTGATTTGGTTTGAAGTTACACGGATGATAGCAGTATTTTTTATTTTTAATGATATACAGATCTGAACGGCCTTTAGATTTTTCTAAATGATACTAGTTATAAATGCCGGATTCCGTATTGTTTGCTGCCTTGCATGTACAATTACTATAATTTTGAACACACGGAAGAATGAACTCGTCCATGAAGGGGTTAGTTCTAACGAAGTACATCGGGAGTTCGGTGACGTTGCATGGCATCGCGGTAGCAGTTATTAGTCCCATCAAGGTCCAGCGGCCATCATTTCTCTTGTACACCAACGGGCCCCCACTGTCGCCCTGTTTAAGAAATAGAAGGCGAGTCAGATGAAATTAAACGGGTTAAATAGAGGGAACCCACGAGAAAGCTAATTTACATTCGTTCACGCTTAAGAGATAACGCAGTGTGGGTCAGTCATCGTTTTTTGCTTGACGCCTTCCATTTTTGTGTCATAGAAACCTGTGGCTTGTATTTACTAATGCATGTATTCTCAGTGAAAAATACTTGAAATTCACCGTGTCTGCGCGGCGACGCACGTTTAATTCGTGTTGTAATTCAAAACAGGATCTGTTTGACATTAACGAATATTTGAGGGGTGGCATTGGTTTAGTAACTATTCTCAATATTACTAAAAACAGTATAGGCGAACCATTATAAACACCAAAAGGCCGACGTAAATGCTTATTGCTGTCTGTCCCGTTTGACTAAAACGTTCCTGTCAGATACTCTGAATCTCTAGCAGTTGTAACAATCAGTTCTAAAATTATCCATCCAACTTCCGAGCTCACTACAGAAAACACTGCATCGAAGTGCTACTGTTGGGGGTCATAAAGGAAGTTTGAGTACACCTTGGCTCCTATTTGTTGGGGCTTGTTCTACACCGACTTCATTCTTAAACAAACATTGCGGTGGAATCAACGTGCTTTTTGGACCAGTTATGCGCCTATTTTTCTCCACACGATCGCTCTCTCGCCCATACTAGCACGCAGAGAGTGGAGTCAGTTGACAAAGGGAGGCGGTTGATTGACCCGGTGAGCACGAAGCTCCTATCGCGCTGTCAGCTTGAGTGAACTAAGTATGGACAAAATGCTGAAGATAACATTTGGAGTTTGTTGGCATACCTAATAGCCTCGGAGAAAGACTATTACTACGAAAAAATTCATAACTAAAAAAGAAACAAGTCATGTGATTTATGATTCAAAAATAAATATATCGAGGAAAGTAGTGGTTGTAGGGATGAAGCTACAGAATGACGGCGGGAAGAGCTTCAGTTGTCCCGCCTCCAGAGCGAGCTTCCAGCATTTGACGACGCTTTGACGTTTCATTCACCACCAGGGCGCGTGCGCTACCAAAGCACGGTGGAAGGCATTGGGAGTTTGCCGGCAGATGGGCGTTCCGAAGAATCGCCCTTTCATTTTGATTCTGTCAGTGAGGACAATTGAGACCGTTCTTGATTGCTGCCGCTAGAAAATGTTGGATTCTGCGTTTATCCAGTAGTAATATTACTGGGACTGGCTGCACTCCGTCTTCCTTGGGCTGCCAGCTGTTTTGAGGGCCGTTGAGCGCATGCGAACACCTACAATCAGCACGGAATGAAACCCGAACGCCGGAACGCGTGGCCATCGATACAGGCTGCTCCACCTGGAGGGCCCCTGAGAACTAATGAGAATGCGCATGGGTGCGAGGGTGCGGGTCCTACTAATGGGGAATTCGCGTGGTTCTTTCCGCGCGCTCTCGAGCGCTCTTTCCTTAGCGCGCGAGATCGGGTGGTTGAAAGAGAGTGCTGTGGCCTGATCGGGTGGTTCATTCCGAGGGCGCCTCTTCCTCTCAGAGCGCGCTCTGGCACTCCGTCTGTAGCCGTCGGAGTGCGGAGTGGCGCAGGCGTCACGTGGTACTTGGACGGGGATCACGTGGTTTTGTTGACGATGGCCGGCAGTAGTCAGTGGTGGTGTGCGGGGTACGGCATGACGGCGATTGATGTGTGGTTCTACAAAGTGGCCGTGAATTCGACGGTGCGAGGATTACGACGGACGGGACGACATTCCTTTGCGACCTTAACAGGAAAAGTCGACGTGTGAAGTATTCTCAGTGCTTTCACGAGATCGTCCATCTCACGGCGGTGAATTCGCTAAGCCTAACCGACGAAGAAACAGCTCGCAGGGCTCGCCGCTGTTTTACCGGGTTTTGTGGCCGCTTCAAGAAATTTTCAGGTTTGGTAAAAGCGCGTTCAAAGGTTTGTGTTGTAAAATAAAAGGAGAGCCGAATATAATGCACTGTGATTTGTGTCACATGGTGACGCCGTGAGAAAAATGCGGTTTGTTAACCATTTTATATTTGACTGTTCTGTTGTACGCATGACCGCTATCGCAGCGCGTTCACTGACGAAAACGCGATGAGTTGACAACTCTTTCCAAACGTTGGCTTTCGTTTCGTTCTGCAAAAATCAAGTCGCATACTGCTGTTTTCTTTTTTTTTTTACATGCCGATGCGTAAAACAATTTACGTCACGTGGCCAACATCTACAGCGCACCCTTCACGGGCACGATGACGTCAGAAGAACTTCAAGAAGCAGCGCCACCACTGCCTATAAAGGAAACGCAAGCGGCTGCGGGCGTCAGTGGACACGGCAACCCAGCCGTGATGATGTCGCCTAATGTACCACTACTCATGCAGGTTGGTGATAGAAAACATGTTTTTCACAGCGATTACCTCTGTTTGATTGTGTTGCCGTGTCCACACACAATTGCAGCTTGTGTACGCGATTGTTTCTCTGTAGCAGGCCTGTTGCTCATACTAGCTGGAGATGTGGAGGAAAACCCTGGGCCTATTACGCAAGAAATGTTTAATGATATGATTCGGACACAAAAGGAGATCCTTGCTAAAATTACTGAGGTACAGGTAAAACAGACTTCTTCGGAAGAAAGTATGCTACAAATGCAAAACAGGCTACTTGCGATAGAAAAAAAACTTGAGAGCGTAGGTGAAACTGAGAACAGGCTTGCTAAACTTGAAAACTCTGTTAGTGGCTACGATGTCGAAATAAATACTCTTGTAAAACAAATTGATGACTTAGAAAATCGTTCACGACGAAATAACGTTATCGTAAGGGGAATTAAGGAAGAGTCTTCTGAAAACGAGGATGTACTAATGAGGAAAATCAACAATGAGGTGTTTGACGCTATACTAGGTCAAAAACTGAACTCTATCCAACGTATACATCGACTTGGAAAAAAGATGACTGGTAGAGATCGCCCTGTAATACTTACAGTTGGGGATTTTAAAGAGAAAATGGCTATCATGAAAAACTGTGTCAAACTTAAAGGTACCCAAATTAGCATCAATGAAGACTATTCCAAGAGGGTTGTTGAGCTTCGAAAGAACCTGTGGAATTCAACCGCAGAGGAGAGGAAAAACGGTGCCAAAGTCAATCTAGTCTTTGATAAGCTGTGGCTTAACAATGTTCTGTACGCCTGGAATGAAGTCAGCAATGAGAGATACAAGTGTCGCGTTCCACCGGAAGCAAATAACGAGTGACTAAAACAAAATGATTCAGCATGTTTTAAAATATTAAACATAAACGCCAGAAGTATTGCAAACAAGGTTGACGCGTTCGAAAGCATAATGCTAGAGCACGATCCTGAAGTGGCCGTAATTACCGAGACATGGCTTCATGAAAATATCTTAAACTCCGAAGTTACTCCACCGAATTATTCAATAATAAGAAAAGATAGAGAGGGAAGGGAGGCGGAGTTGCTATTATGATTAAAAATAAAATCAAATTTGAAGTCCTTGAGGAAGTACGGGATGTAGAAGCATTATGGATCAAGACAAAATTGAATAACCGTACAGTTTATATTGGTGGCGTGTACAGAGCCCCGAATTCGCCAGTTGAAATGCTGTTAAAACTAAGGGGCTACATGGATTCCAATTTACGTTACGGAGACAACATTTTGTTACTGGGAGATCTTAATTTACCTGGGATTGACTGGTCATCATATTCTCTTGGAACGGCGGAAGTAGCTAGTTGCGATCAATTATTAGAACTTGTATTTTGCTATAACTTATCCCAGGTGGTAACAGATTACACTAGAGTATGTTCAACAACGTCAACAATTTTAGATCTAGTTTTTGTTTCCGAGAGTTTAAAACCATATTTTTCGAAATGTGAAACCGAAGAAGGCCTATCCGATCATAAGTTGGTACTCGTCTCATTGAATGTTACCCCAGAAAAATCGCACAGTCATTCAAGAAAGATGTTTTTGGATTTTAGAAGTGCTGATGATGTAAGCGTACTTGATTGCCTTGAACAATCGTTTGATGATTTTATGTTTCTTTACCAATCAGATGCTAGCCCAGACACGTTATGGGACTATTTTTCAAGCATGACGTTACGGTGTATTGAGCGATTTATACCAAAGCGCCCTAAAAAAATCGCGAACAAAAATCCTTGGATTACAAGGGAAATAATCCACACAAAACGACAACTGAAGCGGAGACGAGCGAGTTCACATGGTACAGGTGTAGAAAAAAAAACTTGCATTCAGCGATTGAGTCGGGAGCTGAGGCGTCTAGTTAGAGAGTCTAAAGAAAGGTTTTATAGTATAACACTTAAAAAATTCCTTAGCGAGGCACCTGAGAAGTTCTGGCGGTACGTCAACCCTTCGGCAAAGTTCCAGCAGCGTGCCTCTGACCCAAAAAATGAAAAGCAGAGCGTTGAAAATTTTAGCACTTTTTTTTCATCCGTTTTCACCAACGATGATGGAAATTTGCCAAGCTTTAGTGATTCGTCCAACAATCCTCCCATCAATAACTTAGATATAAGTGAGCAAGGAGTTTTTAACCTTCTACTTAACATTGACTCAAAAAAGAGCCCAGGTCCAGACGAAATTCCGAATGAATTTTTAAAAAGGTATGCTGAGTGGGTTTCTAAATACCTTACTATCATCTTTAGATTGTCTATGAGTAGCGGTTCTTTTCCCAGCGCTTGGAAAATAGCAAAAATTATTCCCATCCACAAGAGCGGTAGTGTTAATGACGTCTGTAACTTTCGCCCCATTTCCCTTACTAGTACATGCTCAAAGCTCCTTGAACATATCATATCTAAACATCTACTGGCTTACCTTGAAAAATATGACATATTATTTAAATCGCAGCATGGTTTCCGCAGAGGTCTTTCCACGACTACCCAGCTCATAGAAACTGTTCATGATCTCTCTCAAAGGATAAACTGTCGTGGTCAAACTGATGTAATATTCCTAGATTTCGCAAAGGCGTTCGACAAAGTATCTCACCCCAAATTGCTATTGAAAATCAGTGCTGTTTCTAAGAATCCAGCCATCACGAAGTGGTTTCCTCTTATCTTTCATCACGGAAACAGTACGTTAAAGTTGGGGGTAGCAAATCCACTATGTCCCCAGTTGTTTCAGGCGTACCCCAGGGCAGTGTCTTGGGTCCTCTTTTATTTTTGATTTACATTAACGATCTGCGCAATGACATCTCGGTTCCAATCAGACTATTCGCCGACGACTGTGTGATTTACAATAAAATTGAAACATCGGCTGATCAAGTCGAATTAAACTGTAACTTAGAAAAAATTAAAAAGTGGTGTCAAAATTGGCAAATGGTGCTAAATCCTGAAAAATCTGTCTTCATGTCTATTACGAGAAAAATAAATGTTTTGGCTTATAATTATTGCATTGCGGGTGCTGAGTTGGAGAGAGTTAAAGAACATAAATACTTAGGCTTAATATTTACTCCTGATCTAAAATGGAACACTCACATTGATAACGTATGCATCAAAGCTAATAAAGCACTGTGGTGCCTTCGACGAAACCTCGCTATTGCAACTCCTGAAATAAAAAGTCTAGCTTATAAGACACTGGTAAGACCCGTCATCGAGTATTCTAAAATTGTATGGGACCCATATACCGTCACAAATTGCAATAAGCTGGAGAAAATCCAGCGACTCGCATCCAGGTTTATTTTTAATAAATACAGCCACGTTCATTCCCCCACAAAACTATGTGAACTTGCCAATCTTCCTACATTTGAATCAAGAACGAAGTATGAAAGGTTAAAGTTTCTTTTTCAGATTATTCATAATTGCGTAAAAATAAGGAAATCCGAGTACTTTGAAATTTCCTCCACCGAATCCTCAAGACATCGTCATAGCATGTACATTCCTAATCCATCTGTTAAAAACGATTGCTTTAAGTACAGTTTTTTTCCGAGGGCTATTAAAGATTGGAATATATTACCTGATTCTGCTGTGTCATCTATGTCGCTAAATGAATTTCTGGACCGTGTCAGTGATATTATTGTATGTGCTACAAACTAAAACCACTACAGCTTGTGTAAAGAAATGTTTCACAACTACGAAGTGATATTCGTTTCGTAAACTGCCGAAATGACGAAGCCTCTCAATATGTCTGTAACCTTTGTGTATGCTTGCGTGTAAGCGTACATGTTTGTTTGTTATTGTCCTTTTTTTTTTCTCCACCCCTGTAATAGCCCTGTGCAAGGGCTGACAGTATCAATAAATGAATGAATGAATGAATGAATGAACAGTTATTTCATCATTTTGCGAGCGTAAATTTTGCTCAATCGTCCACCGTACGCTGTAAGATCGTGTTGTTTTTAATGCACTACCAATGTCAAGAAATGTTAATTCCGTGACTGGTCTGAGAATCTCGGAGCGCTCTGAAGCCAGCAGTTGTGATCGGCTGAAAAGGATCCCGAGTAGCTCTGGCGGCGAGGAGGGGGCGCTCTGCTGAATCGAGGTCAGAGGAGAGAGGCGACCACCCGAATTCACCATAAGATATCGTCCACCCTCGCGCTGGGCGTCTGTGACTTTCGCGTTTCGCCGGTGGCGCGCTGTAACCGCCGTCACACGGGGTGCTCTTCTGTCGCCGCACTGTCGCCGCACTGTCGCCCGGTTGACACCGGGCGGCCGCTTAACCTGGCTATAGCTGTTTGCCATAGGCCCTGCTCAGACAGGGTAATGAATTTATTCCACTCCGGAATTGATACGCCTGGCATATCGGTGGTTACCGAAGAGAACCTCAGCGAGGAACTTCTAGATTCTTTTAAGAATCGACTGATAACCTCGCACGAAAAAATGCACATTGCTCATAAAACCGAGGCATGCGGGTCGGTCTGTTGCAGCAATTTTTTTTTTCATAAAGAATATAGGTGTGCGAATAAACGAAATTTATTTCGCATTTATGACGTTTCACTATTTCTCAGAAACCGCGCGTGGCACGTTGTTTCCGGTGACACGTCATCGAGCACTACGGGTCTTCTGTGCACGAAATGTTTTAACTTTAATCTCGCCCTTGCGTTACGCAAAGCGATAATGAATGACAGCGCTGAAGAGATATCGCTGGGAATCCGATGCACAAAGCGAGTGACATTGCTTTTTGTATCGAATGTGACGGCGCTTACGGCGCGCCACCGGCGAAGCGCGGAACTCCCAGACGCGCCACGCGATGGTCAAGCTCATCTTAGTAGGACCCGCACCCTCGCACCCCGCTGCATTTCCATTAGTTCTCAGGGGCCCTCCAAGTGGAGCAGCCTGTATCAGCGGCCACGCGTTCCGGCGTTCGGGTTTCATTCCGTGCTGATTGCACGTAAGATATTGAGATTGGCTGCAGAGTTTTTGAATCAGAATGTTTCAAATGCCTTTGGAATGAAAATCTGTATTTTTAGTTTTTTCAGATTGCCTTATTATAATATAACGGTGAAGATGTTACTAAAAATGTTTGTCCTCACCGTGCATATAGATGATCCAAAGTCGTGCATAGCGCAAACGAGGTTTTCATGAACTGACCGCCGGTAATACAGCTCTGCGCATTTCTCATTTGGGATTAACTGAACTCGGGCTTGTTGGAGCATATCAGGATTTGTATTTTTGACCGCGGACCCTGGTGCCACTGCAGGATCATAGTAGTCGTCAGGATACTCGCTTGTGTCTGTAATAAAAAACCAGATGAAGGCCGAACGACGTAAGCTGTCCATGAAACAGTTTTGTCATTCGAACTGAGTTTGGAAACCGTCAAAACTGTTCTAAATAAGCTCGATCTTGCTGGATTGATCTTTATTATTTGAGTAGGATTTCGAGAAAAATTAGAGAGTCCAAGAACGTTTTTAATGCGAAATTCACTTTAGTATATCTGTATTTTCTCGCCAGCTAAAAGTATTTAATGTTTGTGGTATGAAGGAATCTTAACGATATTAAATCCCTGGAGAAGGGACGCAAGTGAGACAAAGGACGAAGGCAAATGTCCAAACACAGCTCAGTTATTTGTACGCGACTGAAAAATTCGCCTGGTACGGGTGGTAGAGCGCTCCACTGGAAATTAAGACGCCCCAGGTTCGATACCAGTACCAGGAGGATTTTTGCAGTAGCGCACTAGTCACCTAGCTGTGTTTGGAGATTTGTGTCTTTCCTTTGTTCCCCTTCCCAGGAATTATTATCAATATTCTTGTCCAGCTCGCTTGAACCTTTGCATTAATTACATTATCATCAAAACGAATCTTGTTAGTTATGGTTAAGAATATACGTTTTGGACGGCGTTGAAGATTGGGGGCCTGGATTTTAACCCCTGGAAATTAAATGACCAGACTACGAGAGTTGCAGTGCTGGAACACCATTCTCAACGCGTTCAAGGCTAGAGCTTAAAACCGTGATTTGGAAGTTTGAAATTAAGTTTGTATTAGTGGGGCTTTATTTTAAGTATTGTATCACTACAGGTAGTGTATCCTTATATCAGCAGCAGCAGCAGGCAACCTTTAATTGCGCCCAGAAAGACTAAGCGATTGGTCAGAGGCCCATCTAGGAGTCCCCTCCCAATCACCCCTTAGGCGACGGCCAGAATCCCTTAAACTCCAGCGGCGTCCTCGGCCAGTCGGACGACTTGTTCCTGCACCTCAAGGTCGGTGCAGAGAAGAAGAGCTTCCCAGCTCTCTTGGTTGGTGATCTTGTTTAGTAGTGGCTGGGCTTTACGGTCGAGCCGGCTGCATTCCCAAATAATGTGGCGAAGAGTCGCTCTTGCACCACATAGCTGGCAGTCTCCCTTGTAGCGATCCGGATACCATCCGCTGAGCTGGGCAGGACTATGGTAGGTGCCTGTCTGTAGTCGCCGCCAAGCTACCGCTTGTCTTTTGTCCAGCGAGGGATGCGCCGGAGGGTAGCGCATCCTTTCGCCGGCGTAATGATCGAGGATGTCTCGGAACGTAACCAGTCTGTCGCCCCCCGTCGACGATTCGATGGAGGGGTCCGACGTTGCTCCGGCCCGGAGAGTGAGACCTCGGGCCGCGTCGTGAGCCTCCTCGTTGCCGGGGAGCGACGAGTGTGCTGGAGTCCAGATCAGCTTCACCTTCGCAGTCTTTTCAGGATCACCTAGTACTCGAAGCGTAACCGGCGAGATCCGTCCCTTGGCGTATTGGCGAATCGCCATCTGTGAGTCGCTGACAATGATTTTAGCGTCTTGCAGCTTGAGTGCCAGAGCGATGGCCACTTCCTCGGCTACCTCCGGTTCTGTCGTCCGGACACTGCAGCTCGCAACGATCTTCCCTTGCTTGTCAACCACGGCTGCGGCCATGGCATCCCTGTCGTACCTCGCAGCGTCCGTGTAGTAGACGCCCTCTTCCTTCTCTAGTAGTCTTCGAAGGGCCTTGGCTCTCGCCGTTCGTCGCTCCACATGGTGCACGGGGTGCATGTGACGTGGCAGGTTTGGGATGGTAAGCTTCTCCCGGACCCGTCTCGGCACGTCTATTTTCTCGCCCGTTTGTCTTTCGTAGCGGATGCCCAGGTTTTCGAGAATGTGACGCCCGGTAGCGCTCTTTGTTAGCCGTTCGAGCTGAGACGTCCGTTGCGCCTCGACGATCTCTTCCACGGTGTTATGTAGGCCCAGCGCCGCCAGCTTTTCGTTTGACGTGGAATCCGGGATGCCAAGTGCTCGCTTGTAGGCCTTCCTAATCAAGCAGTCAAGTTTGGCTTTCTCCGCCACCCCGAGCCGTAGGAAGGGAAGGACGTATGCCAGCCGGCTCACGACGAAAGCGCGGACGAGGCGTACAAGATTTCCTTCCCTCATTCCGAAGTGACGGCCTGAGATGCGTGAAATAAGCCGGGTGATCTGGTAAGTTGACGCCTTGAGCGATTCGATCATCTCGTAGTTGTTGCCATCCGCCTGGACCCGCAGACCCAGGATGCGAATGCTCTTCACCGACGGGACACGCAGTCCTTGCGAGTAGAGCGCGATGTCCGACGGCAGCTGGCGGGACCGAACAGGTTTGAGGAGGAGGAGCTCCGACTTTTGTGGAGAGCAAGTTAGGCCCCTCGGAGTGACGTACTCCTCAATCGTCCGTATCGCTTCTTGTAGCGTGTCTTGGATGAACCCGTCACAGCCGCCGGTCATCCAGAGCGTGATGTCATCTGCGTATATACTGTGGTGCAGCCCCTCGATCTTGCTGAGCTTCGCAGGCAACTCAATCATCGCCACGTTAAATAGATATGGCGACAGGACCGAGCCCTGAGGTGTGCCTCGCCCGCCTAGATTGATGTCGTCGGACGTGACGCCACCGATGGAGATTTGCGCCGTCCGATCGCTGAGGAAGTCTTGAATGTAGTTGAACGTGCGTCGCCCTACGCCCAGCTTCTCCAGGTTCTCAAGGACCGCATCATGCCTGATAGTGTCAAAGGCCTTCGTAAGGTCGAGGCCCAGGATCACCCTAGTGTCGAGATGAGAGCTTTTTTCGCCATCTATGATTTGGTGCTTGAGCCTCAGCATCACGTCTTGGGTAGACAGGTGTGGCCGGAATCCAACCATGGTGTGAGGGAACAATTGGTTCCTCTCCATGAAGTCGTTGATTCTCCGTAGAACGACGTGCTCCATTATCTTGCCCATGCAGGACGTGAGCGAGATTGGGCGCAGAGCGTCGAGCTGAGGCTTCTTGCCTGGTTTCGGGATCAGGACCACTTTGGCCGTTTTCCACTGCCGTGGTAGCTGGCCTTGTCTCCAGCACTCGTTGATGTATTTTGTGATGCCGGTTATGGCTTCGTTGCTCAGGTTCCGCAGCATCTTGTTGGTGACACCGTCCGGTCCCGGAGCAGACTTGGTCTTCAAGTTGCGCAGTGTCTCGGCAACTTCAAACTCAGAAATGTCCGCGTCTAGCACCTCGTTGTCTGCACCGCCGTATGTCGTGGGTGTTCTCGGCGGGTTGTCACCAATATATCGCTTACGGATCTCCTCTACTAGGTCGTCCTCGTCACCCTTGTGACTTCGAATGATCTCGCACATCTTGCTACGCTGAGCCGTCTTACAACCGTCCGGATCCAGTAGGTGCCGCAGTATGTTCCAAGTTTTGGGTACATTGGGCTGACCGTCGAACCCTTCGCAGGTATCCTGCCACTGTTGACGCGTAACCTGGTCAGCGTACGTCTCGATCGTTCTGCTGAGTTCAGCGATCTTTCTTCGAAGGTTCCGATTGTTACGTTGCGTACGCTGCCGCTTCTGCAGACTAGCCTTAGCCTCCCATAAGTGTAAGAGTCGGCTATCCGCAGCGGCCACGTCCGCTTCTTCCGGAATCACCTTGGTCGTCCGTTCGGCAGCCGCCAGCAGGCATTCCATCCACTCGCCAATGTTTGTGACGTCTTCCGTCTCGTATTCGCCCATCAGCTCTCGGAACTTATCCCATTCCGTGATCTTGCACTTTCTGCCCCGCGGCTTTCCAGGGCCCGCGCGGATCGTTATCTTTAGCACATAGTGGTCGCTACCCAGGTCTTCCCACGTGTTTGTCCACTCTGCATCCTTTGCATAGCGCACAAACGTAAGGTCTGGCGTAGTGTCTTGTTGTCGGGCGGCTCCTCTCCTCGTCGGATGATCCGGATCGGTGATCAGGGATAGTCCGCATTCGTGAGAGTCGATCCACAGTTTTCGGCCCTTGGGTCGTTCGATCTTGTATCCCCAGTCCGGATGTTGGGCGTTGAAGTCCCCAAACACGACCAGTGTCTGGCGTCTGGCGATGTTCAGGGTCGCTTGGAAGAGGGAAGCGAATCTGTGCCGTTTCGCCGGGCTGCTGTAGATGTTCAGCACGAAGAGGCTGCGCTGGTCTTTCTTCTTCCCCGAGATTATCTCGATTAGCACGTGTTCTACTGTTGAAACGCCTGTGTAATGAACGACGACCGGTATGTTCCTTTTGACCAACGTGACCACTTGCGTCTTTTCCTTGGTATCCATGCCGTAGGACTTGTAACCCGACAGTTTGGCCAGTTGTTTCGACTCTTGTAAGGCAATCAAATCCGGTCGTTCCTTTTCGTCTTTGTTATTCACGTATTGCTGTAGGTTGCCCCTCTTTTTGCCAAACCCGCGGCAATTCCACTGCCAAATTATGTACTTTTTACTGTTCACCATCTTGGTTTCTAACGACTTGTGCCGTACGTAGTTGTTCCATGTGCCTAGCCAGCTGCGTCAGCCACTCGGGGTTGCACATCAGCTCGACCACCTGCTTGTTAACTTCCTGTTGCAGCGGCGCCTCGGCCTTATCCAATGCGACCGTCTCTTGGCCCGGTCTTACGACCATCTTCCTCTTCGCGGGTGGCGAAGCCTTCTCCGGTTCCTTCTCCGTCTCGTTGCTTTTCTGCTGAAGCTGTGTCCTCAGCCATGCGTTCTCCTTCTCGGTCTTCTCTACCATCACGCGTAGAGCCTTGTTTTCTTTCTGGAGTTGTCGCATCATGACAAGGATCTCGTCTAACTTGTCGTTCTGCGTCTTGGCCTCCTTGCTCTTCTTTTCCGAGGCCTTGTGGTCGGTCACCCCGGCCCAGCTGACTCGCTGTCGGGAGCTGGACCTCCTCCTGGACTTCGATCTCCGCCGCGAGCCGGACCGCTGCCGCGAGGTTGACCGCACGGATGCTCGGCTCCGCGACCGTCCTTTGGGTAACGGCGGGAAGTCCTCTTCCTTGAACCTGCTCTCCTCTTGTTTCTTCTTCTTCTCCCACTGCCGCTGTTGCAGGATGTACGGCGTCTTGAAACGCTGCTTGCATCGTGTGTCACCCGTGGGGTGAGCCTTGCCGCAGATGCCGCACGACGGCGAACACGCGTGGCCGTCTGTCGGGTTTAGAGTGTTGCAAATCTTGCACCGTTGCTCTTTCGGTCGCGGACACACGTCGGACCGATGTCCGACTCCGCCGCACGTACCGCATACTTCGATCTTTTTCTTGTACAGGTTGCACTTGTACTCCACGTTGCCGTACATGATCCAGAACGGCACTTTCTGGCCCTTGAAAAGTACCACCGCCGACTTGGAACGGCCCATCCGTCTGGCGTGGAGCACGTTTGGGTTCCTCGCCGTGACTAGGTTGTTTAGAACGTCTTGCTCGGAGTCTTCGTCCGGTATCCCGTGAATTACGCCCTTTATGGTGTCGTCTGGCGGTATTGCGTACGCTACAACCTCGTAGGTTTGTCCCTTGAAGCTTATAGAGTGCACTCCTCCGTATTTGACGGCGTTTTCGAGTGCCGGGGTGCTCACGATGAGCGTATTTTGTTCCTCGTTGAAGCGAAAAGCGTCGTGTCCTGCGTTCTCCGATGAGAGCTGCGCCGCGCGTTGAATGCTGCGTTGGACCAAGACTCTGTCTTCTTTCCGCACGTTTAGTCCTCCCCGAAGTCGAAAAACGATTTTCGCATCGTCTTCCGGAAGCTTCGGAGGCCTTGGCGCCTTCTTGATTCGAGCTCGGCCGTCCCGCCCGTTGTTCCTACCAAGAGTGCGGTTTGGCTGGGAACCGGCCGTTAGGCTTAGCGCTTTCTTTTCTGCTCGGGCCTTGAGTAAGACCGGCATCCAACCTCCCCCGGCAGAGTGAAACTCCTCCGGAGTGATTTCTTCTCCTTCTACCTCGACGATTCCGTTTCCGGGAGTCAAAAGAGGTATTTCGAAGCTTCGAGTGTCCATCTTGTCGTCGGTGCGGCAGCTACGGCCGCCCTCCATTTGTCTTTTGATGGCGCGCGAGGCTGAGCAAGGCGGCGCCTTGTTTCGTCGAGAAAAACGGTGAAATCTTGAGAAAAAAACAGCCCGCTCACCCAAGAATTTGGTGTCCGGGGGTTTCTCTCGCGTTCCACCGCATGTTGGTGGTGAAGGTTTGGAACTATACTGCAGAGGTTCGCTGAAAGCTTGAAAAGTTCACGGAGCTGATGCGAGATGCGTCCGGCCCAGATCACTTCGTCGTCGTCTCCCCTCCTTATATCAAGAGTTATTTTTCAGCAATGGCACTAAAATGTTAGTATATTGTGAGAGGAGTTGCTAGTGAAGGTAAAATTATTTTTGTATTATACATTGAAAACGTTTATGCCCCAGATGCATTGGACCAAATGGATACTAGAACCTAACCTGTTAGGCGCTTTTACAGCGAGACAGCACCGTAATAGCATTAAAAAAAAAAAGTAAGTGCAAAGAAAAATAAAAGTTTTTTTTTTAAACAGCCGAATTGGGACAAGCATGTCACAAAACAATTTTCCCGCGCAAATAAAAAAATACAGCAATATTTTTTTGCGCGAGACAGATTTTAGTTTGCGGATATTTCGTCCGCTTTGGATCGCGCGCCACAAAGTTGGCATTATACGTCACGGAGTGGGTGCTATACGTCAAAGAGGGACGTGGGATAGCAACTCTTCTTATTGGCTAAAGATTGATTGAGAGAAGATTGATTGACATCTTAGATCTTGGTTGTTAAACCTTAGTGATATGCTGTAATTTTGTTTTCAGCTGCATATTCTTACGTTTAAAAATAACCCATCTAATGAGAGTTATTATTCTTTAGAATTAGACGGGCACTTCAATTTGGATTCCATTTGGATTCATTTGGATAGAGTTATTAGACAGGCACTTCCATTTGGACTCACACCATACAAACCAAATGCTTCGCCATTCTTTTCATGGTCGCCGAAGTCTCTGCGCCCGCCTGTCTCGCGGGGTTTCGCCTACCTCAACTAGTCGTTGCGCCTAAGTGATCACTCTTTCGTGTTGACCCAGGTGCTTGAGTGAGACTTGTTTAAATGAAGTAGTGTGTGTTTAGCAGCTTCGTGACAGGAAGCGACGCGGAATTTTGGCTTTCATTGCGCGGTTTGTTACTTTTGTTTTCCTCTTTGCATTCTTAGCGTGCTTTTTTTTTTTTGTTTTTGCTTGCGCGCGAAATTGTCGATTTCTTGGCGCTGTGAAATTCTGTGAAGCGGCGCCATCGCGATAGCGAGTCTACCAGCAGCCATGTCGCCCCGAAGGATCACAAGCTGAATGCAATTTGCTGGAGGCAATCGAACATTCGCGTTGCGACAAACGTGTCCACGTACGTTCGCGTCCTTTCGCTCCGGAGGCCTTCGAGATTCGCAGCGGGTGCACCGAACGTCTGCGACTTAGACACAGCTGTTACGTAAAAAACCCTGGCACAGCCAGGTTATTACAAAACAGCTGTCCGCAGAAGCGTTCAGACGTCCAAAGTCTGCGTTACTGGACACTTTTTTTTGTCGGCTTCCGAACCATCTTACGTAAGGTCTTTGAATTGAATATGTAACGTAATAGTCTCTTTTTACCTGTAAAGTGCCAACCTCCCAAGACGAGTGCTATTCTCTCTAGAGCCTGCGACGTCCAAATTTTTCCCCTTTGATTTGCGGTGCCAAAAGAAATTTCCGCCTTTCATACCTATGCCACCTTTGTTTGGTATAACAAGTTTCCTGTCAAGTTACGGTGGCGGCCAAAATATGCGAGGTGCCCAAAATGAGCACACTGCACAATCAGAGTATCACAAAACAGCTGACCCCCGAGAGCGAAATTCCTTGAGTGAAGCATGCTATTCTATTTTAGTTGATAACTAAATATTTAAACTACTTGTCTGAATTAAACTTGCCACACTTTTTCATCGAGCAAAGTTCCCACTGGCCTAATCAATATAATCGTCCAAGAAGTTCGAGTTTCCAAAGGATAAGCAAGAAACAAGAATCAGCTGATTGCTCTCATTAAATGAAGCCGCCGATTTTTTCTTTTTTGTCAATAAAACAAGTTTTACACCAGCTCCATGTCGTTTAGCTCCATCGCCCTCATCCGGTAGGCGATCTGGAGCACGACTGGGCTTTGGACGCCATCGAAAAAGTCGGCGTGATTCGTGATGCAGCGGCTACAGCCTTGGAGGCAATTTCCGGAACCTCCAGGCAGCAGACGCACTTGCGGGCCGTCGACATTACATGGCAGCGGCCGCAGCGGCACCTGGTTGCGTGTGATATCGCAAGAGCCAAGAGCAACAGTACGCTGACTTCTTTATTTAAGTCTTGGCAAATCGAGGCAGTTCGGTAAGACCCGACCCATTAAGTGGCCAATAGACCGATCTCACCAGGAGTTGCGCGACGCCACCGCTGCCGCGGTGCATCCTGGTACCTGTAGTTCTCCCGTTTTCCGGCCGCGTCGATGCGCATTGTATGCCCGGCGTATGGAAGTTTTCGGATTAGCGCGAGACTTTTAGCCAGGTGTGTTTACTCATGGTTTTCAATCGGTGGCTTCACATGTTGTATGCCGCGGAGCTATAATAACAGCACCAGGCAAAAAGGCCTCGGATATTATGTCTTCCCGCAAGAAAGAAGCATGGCAAAGAAAGGTCAACAGAGCCGGACAGAGCGGCAGGAGAAAGAGCGTTTTACGATTTGTTTCGCGATTTGCTTCATAAATTATATCCAACCTGTGGCACGTCAGCTAAAATGTGTAAGATTACAGGGCACGAGACATAGAGCGTGCCGAAGTGTTCCGTAAGCTGAAATCTCTCTGACCATTTGCTCCGTAGCGGTCTATTCGTTGGTCTATCTCAAATAGGACCTCCGCACTGCTTTGTGGAGGCCGTTTTTAATACACTTCTTATTTACGTATTTGGTGGTATAACTGTTATTGGCCGCGACATGTTTCAAGCACAACTGTGCTTCAAAAGATCAGGACAATCACTAAAAAAGAGCAGCGGTTCCCGATATGCACCACTCGAAATAAAACAACCTTTTCGGAAGCAGCCTTCATTTTTTTTCATACAAACGTGAAAAGATTACATAATGCAATTTAGAAGTGCAACACGTACTTGCCGCCAAAAATGTAACAAACGAACCTCATTCATTTTGTGGTGGTCTATTAGGCTGGTATTACTGATCGATTCTGCATCAGCACCAGTCGAGACCGCAGAAAAAAGCTTCCCCCGTCGGGCGACTGTTAGCGTTCGGATCTTGCGCAAACAAAATAAAACTGAATAGAAACTGTGCACGAAAAATCATCTCCACCCCAAGCTTTCAGGTATCTGGCATGGTTGCTTCTTTTTGATAGATGCTAATTATTACGGCGCGTCAGGCCTGGCCTTTCTGTAGATCAGTTCTTTGTGTGCAGGCTTCTCTCGCTGTTCATCTGTGCTCTGTCGCACAGGCTGTCTACCAGAATGAAACAACTTTTAGAAAACTCTCGCTCACCGAGAAAGTCTATTTAACTCCTCTTGTTGATGGCTGATTAAACGTTATGCACAAGACTGAGCACCACCAAGCTCAGTTTTTTATCACATTTGATGCTGTTCCGTGGTGCTACACTTAGCCAATGGTCCCTCAAATTTGTTGTTCTTTGCTATTGCACTAGATGTTCACTTGTTTGCAAGGTAATTGAGACGTCCGAGGAGTCGGAATGCTCGAGTAGTAGCGCCGTTGTTTTTTTTTTCGCGGCCGCAGTGGGATTATTGCGTGAACGGCAGTGGGCTCACGCGTTCACGAAGAGGAAGAAGCAGACGACGACGAAGCAGACGACAAGGCGATTCTAAAGTGATAAGACGACTGAAACTGCTTTTCTGCACTTTCTGAGGAAAGTAAGGCATCACAAACAACACAATCTTATGAAGTAAAAACATGCAGGAGAATCAAGGTGATACCGGGGCGTGGCAAATGATAATCTATGATGATGTACGTACGCGCAGACGTATGTAGCCGGGAAGCCGGGGACGGATGACTACAAGTAGCATGGCGGCGGCACCACTTCCGGAATGCGCGCGCCTGCGCAGTTCGCTTGGTGGCATCGGTCTATTCGTCGAAGCATGCGGCGTCTCGCGAGAGAAGGTAGAAGTGACGCAGTCCTTTGTCCCGCCTAACAAAGAACAGCTGAAGTTCAATTACCAGCGGGTGTCGTCCAACCGCTCCGAAGGCTCTGGATGGTCAGGTGGTGCGCCGTCTTCGTTTAGTCTTCATTGCTGGCAGCCGTCCTCCGCGGCCAGGGTGGAAGAAATACATTTAGGTGGTGACTCTGGCCGCTCATCCCGCGTGGAGCGAGCGACCAGATCGTGTTCGGAGCTAGCCTTGAAAAAAATTGGGTTGTGAGTGTGTTTATACAGCCTAGAACTTGGTCTGCCTCACAGGGGCGACGAGTCTCCCAGCTGTAGATGAGAAGTTTAGCCAGTGCGGTACAGCCGCTAGCCTGGGGTCTTTAACGTGCATCACGCAGTAGTGATACACGACCGCACGCCGGTACGATGCTCATCCAGATCGAAACGGGCAGGGGTGGGGCTCGAACCCAGGATCCCTGGGTTCTGCAGCGCGAGCTTTCGCTCCACGTGCTCCGAGCTGGTGTGCGCTAGACCACTCGGCCACCGGTCCCCCTAGCTAGCCTTGAACAAAAAGTATACTCTGTTTCACCTGATGATGTACCGCAGGAAAGGCTACAAGCGCGAGCTCCTTGCTCTGGGGCACATCCCGGCGGCACAAGCTCTCGTGACTTAAGAGCAGCTGCCAACGCTATGAGCCCGCGCTTCTAGTTTTCGCTGCGGTACAACATAGGGTGAAACGAAGTGCAGTCGTTCTGTGCCGCCGCTGAGGGCGCTGAGGTGTGAGCACCGTGGGTATGAGGTCTGTCCTCGGCGGCCACGGAGTCAGGGGCGTAGCTTGGTCGCCTTTTTCGCGGTG